CAGAGGTCAGTGGTTCGAATCCCGTACAGGCCTGATTTTTTTCAGGTCTGATTTTCGCTATTGCTTAAATAGCGCTATCTACTGCGAGGATCGTGCATCATACTAATTAAACTCTTTGTTGCTGTACTGCGAACTGCTATTAACTGGGAATAAAAAAGAGTGTTAACTAGAGAAGTGTTGAAACTGGTGTAATCCTATATGATACTCGGCCATTTCTCACTGCGCGAAGAAAAGAAGACATTTTCGATGGTAATAACCCGCTGAAAAGAAATACGATTTAGGAGGCAATGTAGGCGAATTATCGGCCGTGTGCAAAACTAAAAGCTGATTTTAAAATACTAACAATATAGAACAGAAGGCCGACAAATGAATCATCCTTGGCTATCTACATACATACATAAACTTTATTTCCATTCGGATTTATGAATATCACTAGATGTGCCAGTATCTCCGAACATATAACTACAAAATAAATGACAATAATTTTAAAGTTTAGTCTAATTGCCAAAAATTATGGACAGCTGTAATCTGTAACATACCCAGAAAAGGTGGTGACACCTTCATAAAAAGTTCTTCGTGCTTTACATAAATGCGCTTTTCAAGTGAAGTGCTTGCAATCAGTATGCAGACGTACGTGGTAACAGCTCTGTGCTAACACGGATCAATCAGAGAACGAGGCTATCGCAGGACGTAAACGCTGCTAAAAGCCCACCTAAGGGCTCGCCAATTTTCAGAGCGGGGAAGGGCGGGGCGGGGGGAGGCTATTGCTTTATGACTGACTAAAAGGCAAAACGCGGGTCCTTTTTTTCTCCTGCCCTGCCATCAAACCTAAATAAACACGGCATGCAATATCACCAGTGCTTTATTTGACATATATCACATTTCGACCCGTAGATAAGATTAAAAGTTATGGATCAATCATGACTAAAATTTGCCTTATTCCTAACCACCTCCCCCCCCTCTTTGGTCGATGGGTAGCGCCGTTCGACTTATATCTGGGGCACAGTTTTGATCCTCATCGAGGCCTGAATTTTTGTCCAGGTGTACCGGATCTAGATGGGAACATTATTAGAGATGGACTGATTTGCTTTTTCATTTTTGTTTTTATTAGGTTACGTCAAACTCATCGGTCGTTTTCAAAGATCAAACTTAAGCCTATTCTTGTCAAGAAAAAGATGTTTTCAGAGAATAAATTTGGAAAATCAATACTTCAAGAAAGACAATCGGCCTCCCAGCCCAAAGCATCACCTGCAGATAATCACACCTTCTCCTCTGCATTACCCCCACGGAATTATTTTGCATACCGATTGTGAAGCGAAAATATTTTGCATTGCAAATGTTTTTCACCAATTAGTATTCATCATAGCTCCGTCAGGAGCTTCGGACGCTGAGCACAGAGCTACTTCAGGCTGTTTGATTTGAGGCTTCTTGTTTCTGGCCTTGTAAATCGCTGCTTAGGAAGTTCAAACCTGTTCTAACGTCTGAGCGTCGAAGCTAAAAATGATGAGTAGCCTTGAATATCAGTTTTTGGTGTGTAAAGATTCTCCCACGTGGCTGTCACCATCGACAACAGCAGACCACTTGTGAGAGGACCGAAGTCTTGGTTAATGTAAGTTATCTTGTTTTGTCTCGTTATTTTGCAATCCGGTACAATTTGCGAGCATATTTTTTCAGCCTTGGGAGAGCTGAGTTAGATAATCTTGTGTTTTAAGTGACAAATCTATCTCACTTCCCCTTCAAGATTTTTTTAAACTTGTTTGCCAAAACAAACTGCAGAGTTCTTCTTAAGGAAACTCAAAGCGACATCTTCCACTACCATTAAGGGAGTAATACGCTTTTAAAACTTTTGAAGAGTAGTAAACCAGAGACACTTGGTAAATATAACAACTGGAATTTCATGACTGAATCGTTTTCAAATATTACGTTAGCTTTCAACTCTAAGCAACTCCTGGCTTTATATTTCTCCTATAAGTATCACCCTCATATAAGATGTAAAGGGATTAAAGGAAATTACTACAAATTTGAATTTTAATCGATTTTCGGAAATTTTTCCGTATAACCCCATACCAATCAAATACAAAGCCGAAGTCCCAAAGGTAATCTGTTGTTTTGGTTCTGTTTTCTTTTATCCAACAATTGTATACATAATGAAGTATGGGGTTATACGGAAATCTTGCCCAATTTTCTATACATCTTCCTTTATATACTGTGGATGCGACTACTAATCCCGCTCCCCTCAAGACCACGTGACCCCCCCTTCCTTTCAGGCCATGATGATGACTGGACTCTAAAGAAAATTTAAATCTTTTATTCCCATTACTATGGACTCGGAATCTCATTGGTTGCCATCAACAATAAATTCTTTGCATCTTTCACTAGGCTATAATGTAACAGAAATGAATGACTGGTCGTTATCAATTGCAAGATCAACATTCCGAAGACAAGCACAACTAATACAGGTCAGTTGATAGCTTTATTTGTTGCTTAATTTTTTTTATTTTAATTTTACACTCCCAAGATTTCCCAAATGATTTCTCCTTACTATCTGCCACACAATTTTTTTGATGTCGGTTTGGAGAATTTGGTGTTGGATCAGCTAATAATGTCCTGTTTGATATTTTTCTTTATTCCAATAAAGAAAAATATCAAACAGGACATTATTAGCTGATCCAACATCTCATCACTTGTCTGCTCGATTACGTATTGATTTGGAGGGATAAATTATGTCTTGATCCGCACCCATGGGAATTAATTCTGTTGACATCTAATCTAAGAGTGACTCTAATTTTTCCTGTTCAAAAGTGCTCCACGCTAAAGTTTTAAAACACTTTCTGAGTTACTGAAGGTTGCTCCAAAGCAGAACTGGAAGTTCTGTATATTTGTGTATATTTATAACTCTTAATTTTTAAGAGCATCTTTCGATAAGGATACCAGGTGATACTAGTGTCTGAATCTTCTTCATACATATTTTTCTAGGAGAACTGCATGCATTTTTAGATATAAAAAGTATAGATACGGTGGAAAGAATCTTAGTGAGCACCTTTAAAAGTTATTGGTATATGAACGTCGAAAAAGGGGCCGTTTGACCTCATTTGAGGTTACTGTGTTAACATTTTTCACCTTGGATGCATCTCTTGATATAGACAATTTGTGGGGGTATGATTTGTTACAAACCACTTTGATATTATTTCAATGTAGTATGAGAAGAACCCATTACTTGGAGCTTTCAACTCCCGTACTGATGTCACGGCATTTTCACAGAATGGTTTATTTCAAGAATATCTTTTTCCGGGAAATAGGTAACTCGAGCTCACACATTCACGAGTAAAGTTCTAAATTAACTACGCGCTAATCGTAGGGAATCCCTTTTCGTGGTAAATTTAAACCAAAAATAGACTTATCAGTGAAAACACCATGGCTTTAACAAAGGGCATTTGATTGCTCCAAGTAATGGGTTCCTGACTAAGAATGAATATATAAATGGACGTGTTGGTTTTATCTCAATATAACAAAGAAACGTGAACTCCAAAGAACGTACGCCATGCTAGCAACGGAGAAAAATTCAGAACGACTCCGTAACCCTTGAACTCCCAGAAGTGATTAACATGAAACTTCTCCTTGAAATATCCATACAACATCAAGCACACAGGTAATGAGAATACTCAAACGTATCAGGCAGAAGTTATCTTGATCTAACACCAAATTTTCATCACTAATTTACAAAGGAATGAGTAGCAGGTAGAGGAGAGAATTTGCAATTAGAACTTTGGCGTTAAAGGATTTGTCTAAATTTGAAACTATTTAGCTTGAATTTGACGATAAACGATGTAA